GATCGGACTCTTCAAAAAACTACTCCAACGCTACACTTCCACTTCCACTTCAATTCTTAAAGACTATCAAGACTCACCTGAAGCTCACCAAGTCGATCATCTCGACAACGACGAACTCGAAACCCTTCGACAAGTAATCAGCTCAGTCAGGAAACGTCTTCTGAACACTCACGAAAAAATCACTAAACTGCACGACGAATGGTCAACTCTTCAACATTCTGACACTAACGAGTCTACCATCTTCGACGAGTATATTGCTAAGTATGGGGACTACCGCGCTTCAATAACGGCCGCAGTCAATCAACTTGAGCAACTCGACTACCTAATGAACGCACTTGATCAGGAGTACATTAAAAGGAAACTCCACATCCCAGCCGATTCTTCAGGCTCTGCTCCCCACGATGACAACGTCGGAAAATGGAATTCCGTACCAACCTTCGCTCATCAATCCGGACTACTATCATCCTCACCGGCAATTCCTCACGATCCAACGCTTCTGAACTTTGTTGACGCTTCTATTCTCTCTAAGCTGGACTTGCCAACATTCGATGGAAATCTTCTCGACTACCCAGAGTTCTGGGCACGTTTCACTACGCTGGTGGACAACAAGCCGCAGCTGGACGATACCACGAAATTTTCTCTACTGAAATCCTGCCTGCGAGGTCGTGCACTTCAAGCCATCCAAGGACTATCTCTGACAGCTGCAAACTATAGAATCGCCGTTGACATCCTCAAAACCCACTATGACGACAAAGTCACTATGAAACATATGCTCTTCACCAAGCTGGCTCAGCTTCCAGCATGTGATCCCGAAGGTCGTCAGCTACCTACTCTCTACAATCGTATGTTCTCCCTCGTTCGTCAGTTTTGTAACGGCGGTGATGACTCCAAGGAAACTGCTCTTGGTGCTCTGCTTCTCAACAAACTCCCCGTTCGTGTTCGAGGTCAGATCTACGATAGAACTTCGAATAGTCACAACGTGACTCCCAGCGAACTACCTCACCTCCTCACCGACATCGTGAGAAAGGATTCTACTCTCTTCGAAATTGAATTCCATACTCGTAGAAGTAACGAAGCAAAGAATGTCGACTACGGTTTCCACTCCACTACCGGTTCGGTGCGTTCTCCTTCAAACGGCACCATAACTCGATCGACTGAGAAACAGCACATTCTGAAGACAACGGGAAGAAGCTGTTCTTATTGCAAATCCGCTTTTTCAAGGCGCAATGGACTGCAATGTTTTTACCACGATGAAACAACGATGGGCTCAAACAAAAGTTCTCCGTCTATGCCACAATTGTCTTTCCTCAGCTCATATCACAAGAAAATGTCCTTCAAAATATTCATGCCGGCTGTTCACAAAGACATCACTCGTCATTATGTCGACAATTCGACCATCAACCACCGCTTCGAAACTTACCATCACGTCTTTCTTCAACAACAAACAATAGCCAAGCAAAAGACGACCAACAACAGCACTTCCGTCCGTCAAAGCTTAACTCTCACACAATCAACGTCGCAGAACCAACTCCAGAACGACTTACTCATCCAGTCAATTACTTGCAACAGCCTCTCCTACTTCGCAAGCTGCTCTGATGTGCGCACAAGTGAGTCTTTTCAATCCATCCGACCCTTCGAAAAGAATCGCAGTTACAGCTTTCCTTGACTCAAGGTCAAGTAAGTCGTATATCACAGATGAAGTAACAGATCGCCTCAATCTTGATACCATCACAATGGAGGATATCGTGGTATCCACATTCGGGTCAACGAGCTCACTCAAGCTAAAATGCGGAAATCATAACGTTGGAATGGTCACAACAAAGGGAGCCAAACGTCTGCAAGTGAAATCAGTGCCGACAATTACAGGAAATCTTCTTCAAATTCAGATTAATCAAAAGGTTTCTCGTGGGAATTTCACATTTTCCCAATGCAAACCTTCCATTCTCATCGGAAACGATTACTTTTGGGACGTAGTCCTCTCCGACGACTTCTTCTATCGTAGACTCCCCAATGGTTATCGACTGCTGCACACAACCATTGGTGACGTCATCATAAACGAAGCACTCGATTTCAACCATGTGAACGCTTACACGTCTGTTATATCGAACGAAACTGACTTGGACAACCCACGCAACCATGACGAACTTTGAGAACTTGTCAGCAACTTCTGGAAGCTCGAAACAATCGGAATAACAGACGATCCAACTAAAAGTGACGATGACGAATGTCTCAATTGCTTCAACGACTTTATAACCTATGATCAACGTCAGAACTGATACTATGTCAAACTACCATTCAAGAGCGATCCAACACAACTGCCAAATAATTTCTCACTCGCGTTTTCGAGACTTCGCTCCTAGGTAAAATCCCTTCAAGAAAGACCAGATTACCTGGAAAAATATCATGCGGTGATCAAAAATCAAGCAAAACTAGGTATAATCGAAGAAGTCCCCTCGGACTATCTGTCGAAGCTTTCACATTACCTGTCCCATTATGGAGTGGTGAAAAAAGACGGAAACGACATAAAAATCCGTTGCGTCTATGATGGCTCTGCAAAGGTAACAAGACAGTCCAGCCTGAACGATATACTCTGTCGTGGCCCAGTACTTCCTCCAGACCTCACAGGTATCTTACTTCGAAGCAGGTTTCAAAAAATATTGATTCCTAGTGATATCGAGAAAGCCTTCTTAATGGTAGGACTCAATGAAGAGTCTAGAGATTTCACACGATTTTTGTGGCTGAAAGACCCATCGAGACTTCCTGAACGTGTTAACATCATCACGTACAGGTTTACTCGTGTACCCTTTTGGGCTTGTCAGTTCCCCGTTCCTCCTGGCAGGTACAATCCATTACCATCTGTCATCTACTGCAAGTCCACTTTCTCATGGAATACTTCGCAACACGTATGTCGACAACGTATTTCAAGGCGTGAGTACCATTGAAGAAGGACAAGAATTTTACAAATAGTCCAAAAAGTTGTTCCAAAGAGCAGGTATGAATTTACGTGCCTATGTAAGCAACTCCATGGAACTCAACAAATACTTCGAAACCAACGAACACTGCAAGGCTTCAGAAACTCAAAAATTGCTTGGTCTCCAATGGAACACCGTCCACGACACAATCTTCATTCGCCTTCCCGACCAACCAACGAGTGATATCAGATGGACAAAACGAAAAGTACTGAAATGTATCGCCAGCATCTACGATCCACTGGGGCTACTTTCCTCAACGGTGTTGATCGGAAAACTTTTCCTGCAATCGCTGTGGAAAATCGAACTTTCTTGGGACGAGTTAATTCCCGCAGAATATGTTGCTAATTGGAAACGCATAACCTCTTCGTGCAACTCTCTGGGATTATGCGTACCTCGCCGATTATTCGATGAGGATGAAAATATAGAAGTCGAATATGACCTTCATGTGTTCACTGACGCCTCAGCAGCTGTCTACTGTGCTTCGGCTTACATCGTACGAAGACGAATCAATGGCTCTTCATCAGCATCTCTTATCATGTCGAAATCCCGACTCGCACCGCTTAATCACGCTATCACTATTCCACGGTTCGAGTTAGCCGCTATGATGATTGGCTCAAAACTACTCACCTTCGTCGTACAAAACATAGAGGTTCACGTGAGTCGAAACTTTTTATGGACAGACAGCAGTGTGGCCTTGACATGGATAAGATGCAACAATGATCTCCCAATCTCCGTTAAAGACCGTGTTAAGGTCATCCTGAAAAACATGGTTGACGTCAATGTGAGGCACATTCCTGAAAGCCTCAACCCTGCAGACATTGGCAGCCGCGGTGCCACAAGCCAAGAACTCCTTCAGTTGACATCCTGGTGGAAAGGACCGGATTTCCTAACAAGTGATGAGGACAGTTGGCCAGGTGACTTATTTCTTCAAAACCAACATTATGGAGACAAACCAGGCACTGCACGTGATGAGTTACCACAAGACTCGGCTAATTACTGCTTCCCAGCGCCAACTACGGAGACAACCGTACTGGAAGCCTCAAAGTTCAGTTCGTGGAAAAAGATGGTCAACACGATGGTCAACGTTCTACTTTCCATAACGAAAAAATGTCGCAGTGCCAGAAAATACTTTGGCACCTTCAAAACCACTCATATCTGGAAAGCAGAAATTATACTGTTTCGGCTTGCACAG